GAATCTCTGTTGCTTTATGTTCTGTTTATCTTCTTACCTGCTTCTGTCAGCAAATCCTTAGTTAAAAGAGGCCACTTTTTCCCATAGAAACTGTGACTCAATCTATTATGAAAGGGAACTTATAAACAATAAAAAAGTCATCTGAAGAGTAACATGCTTCTAATCAAAAGTCTTCACAAACTAGCAAAACATTATTTCTTGTGGTAATAAGTAGAAGTCATACCAGCTGAAAACACGGTTCCAGATAGCTTCAAATCTTCCATTTTTATAGTTCAATTCTATGGACGTTTATTCAAACATAAATGTCAGCACATCATATTTCCACTGAATTGTCCTAGCATCTCTTTGCCCCAGAACTTCATTCACAGGTTCAATAAATAAATAACATTCTGGATTTGTATCTCATGATATGTGTTTGTTATAGTCTTAATCATTGGAGCTGCTGTGATAGAGAAAAATAGAGGGAGGGAGAGAGGGAGGGAGGGAGGGAGGGAGGGACAGTGTGAGTGTTTTGATTTATAGTCAAAAGATCAGCCTTTGCCTGAAACAACATTTTTTTATGCTATACACAATTTTATATGGGGAGGGCACTATTGCCACTAGAGTGGCACTAGTGGCCACTCATTTGGCCACTGAATACTATCAGACAAATGCTAGTTTGCCCCGAATACAATCCTACTTTTACTTTAAAAAATTATATCAATATTCTAAGCTTTTAACTGGCATTACAGTTTGGAAAGCATCATAATCCAACCATGTTGTAGTGGCTTCCTAAAGCTAACTGCAAGGAATACTTGTTTCTTCTTTTTTTTAATCTTCGGAAAGGAAATTAAAAACTGAGCATTTCAGCCTCCTTCCTAACTAACAGGATAGAATGGATATATTTTTTGTTCTAAAGCAAGCAATATTTTTAAAACGCTTTGCGCTTCACCACAAACTAAGTTAGCTTGTACATAAAGCAAGGTTTGCTTTTACTGAATGCCAGGAAAACATAAAGAGTTAATTTCTAATACTCTCACAATGAATTACCGCTGAGGGAATCTCAAAACTCAGCAGTGACTTGGGCCATATTACAGCCCTACAAGAGCCAAGATCAGTGATGGCTAAGAGATATGCTAGCAGTTGGGATACATTTATTTCATTTTTGAAATGTGGAAGCCAAGAAGTTTCCAAATAAATAAAATATAAAATAAGTGAAATGGAGGGGGAGAGATGGCTCCAGTTTAGCTGTGACTGAAGGCACATGTGTATCAACAAAGATGAGGCCAAAATTGGCAGTAATTCTACTGGATGTTTCAATCATGTTTTAAACAACTTTGTGCTACAACAGATTAACCAACCCACTCAGAAAGTAATAGAATACCAATCAACTCCCAAGTCTACATGTAGCTACCTAACTGTGAAAGTAGATGACTTATTAACCCTTCTCCACAAACACACATTCAAAGGATGAGGCAAAATATATTTTCTCTTACCTCTCTGCTGGTAAGAGAGTGTTCAGGAGACCATGAATGAATGGATGGATGGATGGATGGATGAATATATATATATGGAGGAGGAAGGAGGAGGAAGAGGAGGGGAAGGAAGGAAGGAAAGATGGCTGATGGAGAAAGAAACGTTTTAGGAACAAATTACAGTACTGAAATCAAGAGACAAGTTAGCCATGACTTATTTAAACCCCATGCCTCCTTTCCTCTGATCACTACCCTTCTTGGCCTTTTGGCTTAAGCTTCAGGGGAACTTTAATACCTGGATTATAGAAAGAGGCATATAGCTACATTAATCCCTGACCAGAGCTTTCCAGAGTACTTGCCAGTTTAAAGTAGGGTCCTTCTAAACCAGGGATCCCCAAACTATTCAGCTCATCGACCCCTTCATGAAGTTTTAGATGGTTCATTGAACCCCAAACATTTATTACATGAGAATAATGCAATAAATACTACTTTAACTAATGATACTACAAATAATAACAGCAATAATGTGTCCCATTAAGGATAATGACCACTTTGGGGAACCTTGTGCTAAAGACAGGCATAGGGTTCTTTCAAAAGAGTTGCACTGACTGAAAATTGATTTAAACCAGAAAGACAGAGGAGTTCTAGCAGATACAGGCTGCTATTTCTTTACAGGTCTTCCACTGTTTCTGCTAAAAAGGGGTTTCACACAACTGTATTTTTTCCTACTTCTGTAATTTCTGAGGGCCCACGTGAAAGCACTAAAACTGTCACCTTAACCCATCAATCCCCCAGGATGAGTATCATGCAGTTGCAATTCCTGTGGCTGTCCATTACCAGTGTGTGTGTGGGGGGGGGGGGGGGATTTTGCCCACCCCATTCTGACTTTGATGAATTACGCCCACTGGCTCTTCTCAGATGCCGCTGGCCATGTCAGAACTGGTCTCCTTGGCCACTCACTGCTAGCACTGCCATTTCTTTGCACCACAGAGTTTGCTTGTCATCAGCAGTTCCCTCCCCTCTTCTTCACCCTGCATCACCCCACAACACCTGCCACCTGTTAGCACACTTGATAGGTGGCCAAGCATCTGTCTAAACTTGTGCCCTCCCACCTTAAGGAGAGGGATTTGTGGTTGTTTTTAGCCCTGGCAGGGGATGCTTACTGGGGAGAAGAAGGGAACCCAGGGGGATCCATCAATCCCTTTCCCTAATTTAGCCCAATAAATAAGGAAAACACGGTTATTGGGCTCTTTCCTGCAGCAAAACAGATACTGGCAATGGGAGCAGCACAATTAAGGCTGGCAGACTTTCCTACAAGCATAAGGGCCGGTGGACACACGCTAACCCGGATAGATGCGTTGCACTTCACTTTCCAGAGGGTTATCCTGGAAGGCGGAGGTGCCGAGCTGTAAGAGTTGCAGCCACTGTTTGGCAGAAGAGAGAAAGCTAATGATCGTGGCTGACGGCTAACAAAGAAGCTAATCTTTTGTCTCAGCGGCACTTCGGAAACCTTACCACCGAAGCCCAACGACAGGCGCAGCACTTTTCCTGTTTGTGCAAGCCGCGCAGAAGCCTGCAAGGATTTGCAGACCACGCTCACGAAAGAGGAAACGCGACCGCGACGCCTCTCTTATTTGCTCGGAAAGCGAAACACAAAGCAACGAAGCAGGCTGATGTGGCCACGCTGCCCCTCCCTCCGGTTCGGATGCATTTGGGCGGCCGTACCCCGCGAGGCGAGGAAGCCGAAGAGGGGGGAAAAAGGGCCATCGCCAGGCTAAAGGAGTGGGGTGCCTCTCACGCCATGCTCCCACTTTTCCTGGTCAGAACTGCAGCTGGGAGATTGCGATCCGGAGCCTCATCGAGGGAAGCAAACGCGTCCTGGGGATGGGACTGTATAAGGGTGACAAGGAAGGAGACAAGCCAGCCCTAGCTACCACGCGTCCCCAAGTCTCCCGCCTTTCTCTTCGAAACGCTGCACTACTTTTCACCCTCCTCAGCCACACACGGGTTTCTCGAGGGGCGAAGAGGCACGCATGAAAGGTGCAGGTGCGGGTGTAGGGACCAGGAATCAGGACGGAGGCAGGCTAGGGAAGAACGCGCGCGCGCACACCCCAGCGCAGGCAGCCTCTCTTCTCTTTGACGGCCGAGGAGGAGCGGGGGGGGGGGCAAGGCTACAGTTACCCTACCTAAACGATTTCGCCGTTCTCCTGGTGTACGTGAATCACGCTGGATTTCCCAGGCATCTCGGGCTCCCCACCCCCTCGGGCACGCCTTCCCACCCGACAACAGACATGCCTACACCGAACAAGCCTGCTTAAGCATTAAGTTAGTGCTATGCCCGCCAATGTCAGCGAAAAGAATGCAGCAGCAACAGCAACCAGCTTCCTCCTTGAATCCTCCAAATTATAACTCGACACGGCTGATCTCGCTGCTTTCTCTAGTCCGGAAGCGTGAAATGAAATGAAATGCAACCCTGTATAGTGAAATGGGGGCGGGGGTCTTTTCTTTTTTTAAGCGCGCGCACCGAACTGCAGTCTCGCCACAGCTACATTGCCCTAGACAAGCTGAAGTTTTGTTTTGCTTTTGAAGTGTCAACGCTCGACAGAGGAGACGCGTGACGATATGAATAATTTGTCACCACCTCAAATGAAAAATAGCAGCACGAGGCTTCGGGGGGTTTGTTGCAAGGAAAGAGCCACAAGAAAGAAACAGAGGGAGAAAATGCCTCTCTAAAGAGACGGCACGCGTCCCTAACACTCCTAGAAAACTTAGCCTTCTGGAGATCGCGTGAGACTCCGAGGGTAAGCATAATTCCATCAGCAGGAGGGCTTGAGAGCGATCGGACTTGCTTCGGAGTTAATCCTGTTTGAAGGATCTAGAGATGGGGGTGGCATCCAGTAGAAGCAGAAAGGAAGGAATATCGGGGTTCGGAATAAAGCCATCATACATGAACACTAACTTGGGAGTAATTCCCACTGAATCACGTCTAGGACCAGGCCGATCCTATTCCGCAACCATTCTTGATAAAGCGCAGCTGAACTTCTGGAAGGAAGAAATGCCACTCCCCCGACCAGCACAATAACAGACCAGAGCCGGCGTGAGAACCGCTTCCTGCATCTCAAGCTGCTCTCGCTACTTGGGAACCTGTCGCCGCTTTAAAATCCCCAACGTGCCCCTGCTTTATTCCTCTCAGTAACTGCCCAGCCGCCAAAGGACTCATCTGGGCAATCACATTTTTCCTTTCAACTTCTTTCCCAATAGCCCACCGTCATTTTCGCCTTGCGGTCACAAATCTCCTGAAGCCGGCCGCAACGCTTAGTTACGTGAGGGTGAAATCGCAGACTGCAGATCAAAATGAAGTGGGCGGGGGAGGGGAGAGAGACCTTCACAACATCCTCAAAAAGATACACATCTACTCAACACAAGTTGGCGAGGTGGGACGAGGGGAGCAAACACCACCGGCCCTTGCACCTTAACACCCCGTGTGCGCATCCCGGCTCTCTTCCCTTTTGTCAAATACGTGTGAAAGCAACGCTTTGCATTTACCCGCTGGGTTGCGCCTCCGGGTGCCCCTCCGTTCGTGCAATCTCTTTTGTCTTGTAAAAGATCAGGAGGATACTTATCGTGCAGATAGTCCACCTCTTCCTGATGGAACGCATGTCTTCTGAAAATCGGAATTCCTTCTATTTCCTTTGTTTGGCAGGGTGGAAGAGAAAGGGGAGCAAAGGAGATAAAACAAAGCAGCGTTCAGCCAAAGGTTTTTTAAAAATCAAAACAAAAAAGAAAAACTGGATTGATGCTGTGGGGGGAGAGGCTGCCGCTGCTATTCCCCCGTGGGCGAAGTCCTCCTGCCCGAAGTCCACGCGCTCCCGAGATCGCTCAGCAACTGCTTCTCCAAGCTCCTCTCACGCTGCCTTCCCGTTTAG